TGTTCAAAAAATAATCTCAATTGAACATATCTTTACAACATTGTTACTCACAGAATTCTGGGCTACAGATGAGCTAGTGCGCGTCCTCAGATGACAACCCTACACAGTTACAGAACGAACACACACTAAGCTACACAGTTAGGAAATAATAACTTAATCCCTAATTTGCCTCGGTGTGGTTCTACATCAATATCCTCATTAAGATGCCTTAAACTAGGCCTAGGAGTGCCTAGGATGGAATGAGGATGCAAAGATGCACTTAAAATACTTTTCAAAATTTGCTGAAACAGGGGTCCACGCTCGAGCGTGGCTTTCTACGCTCAAGCGGACATGCAGAACAAAGGAGCTCTGCTCGAGCGTGACTTCCGTCGCTCGAGCGGACTGTAAGCTACAGTAAAAATACTAGATGCACAAAAATCACGCTCAACGGGCGCTCGATCCACGCTCGAGCATGAGACACAAGTCCTCACTCGAGCGTGCATTCCCTCGCTCGAGCGAATTGTAAACACATGCAAAGTACTGGATACACGCATTTCACGCTCGAGCACCACTTTCCTCGCTTGAGCGGACTGCATGAACACAAGACGTACGCTTGAGCGTGGAGTTCCTCGCTCGAGCATGAGTCCAAAATCTGGAATTTCCATATTTGAACCTCAAGCTCAAAACTCAACTTTAATGCATCGAATTCGATCCTTTTGGGCTAATTTTCTGGAAAACACTTGTAAACTCATAATATGACATGTTTCAAAGATCAATTTGAGAAATCAAAGCCCAAAGGTAGTTCAATTAAACACAAATTCATTTAAAACTTCAAGAACATGATCAAACATAACATGCATGTGTTCTAATGAGTTCAAAGCTTCTAATACATGCTCCAATAAGCCAATTCCCTCAAAAACAAGATGATTTCATGATCTAAAATCAAGATATGGACATGCATGTAACAAATTTCATGAAAACAACCTCAAAATGCTAGAACATGTATATGCATGCATTATTTAAGCTTCAATTCAACAATCTAAACCAAAACTTGACTTTAAAACTCTAACCTTCCAAGGACCATGCAAGAACTAACTTAACTCACAATTAAGAGGATAAATTCCATACCTAGGTTCCTCAATTACAAGAATGAGAGCTCAATTATGCAATCAACCTTCAATTTCTTTAATTTCCTAGCAAAACCTTCAAGTTGAACTCAATTTCTCTCTCTCTCTCTCTCTCTCTCTCTCTCTCTCCCTCTCTTAGTCGGTTCAAGCTCTTAAAATGACTGAAGAAGTGTTGTATCAAAAGTGTATGAAGTGTGATTAAACAAGTCCTAGAATTGTCCACTAAGTGGCAAAATGGTAGATAAGTCTAACTTAATTAATTTAGCTTTATTTAATCCGATTTAATCATACCAAATCACATTTCAATTAAATATACCATAAAATTACATAAATTCTAGTCAACACATAACACTAATCATTTTCAGATTCGGCCGCGATAATTCAATGACAAACAGATAACATGCGTTTAAACTAATACACTCAATCAATCAGTTCAGAATTTCAGTCAATCAGTCAGTTAATATGCTTAATCATAGATTAGCACTAATCAGTGGTGAGTGTTGTCACACCAATAATATGTTAAAAATTGAGACCTTTTGCGACAGCACTGTTGTACCATCACTAAAAGTGTTATTTGAGACAACAAAAAATGCCGTCGTGAATTTTTTTTTATTGCAACGGGATACGTGCTGTCGCCAATATCTTTTTGCGACGACATTTAATATGTCGCAAAAAAAAAATTAATAATTTGGTTCTAATGTTTTTTGCGACGGCACCACCAAAAAAATAAAATAAAAAAGAAATAAAATTATTAAAAATATTGAACTTACCTATATTAAATGAAAAACAATTGAAAAAGAAACCAATAATTGCATAATAATATAAAAATTCCTGTATAGAAATAACAATATCTCCATAATAAAAATATTCTTGCATTCATAACTACACATCAGCAAAATTACCCCACTACATAATGTTGCATAATACATATATAATGTTTAAATACATAATGTTGTTCACAATTCAAAATAATATAAACCAAAAACAAAAGTTTTCCTCATTATTCTCCGTGGGTAACAAAAACAAAAGTTGTTGCATTCTTCATAGACATGCATTCCACAATAAGCAAACTCCTACTCGGGAAATATCTAAAAATAAAAAATAAAAAAAATTAATAACAATATAATTATGTGTTAATATGTTAATTAAAAAAATACATAAAAATTTAACTACTATACAATTACAAAGATAATTAAGTAAATAATTTTGCCTAGACCAAAGTCCAGCTCTAACTCCCAAACCGGGAACCCAATTGGAGTCTCGTCTTCTCCCACAAGTCTCTTGTGCCTAGGCGGTCGTGTGTGCCAAGTTTCATGCTAATCTGACGCCGTTTGGTGATTTTGGGGCGTCAACACCTCGAATTCTAAGTTTTTAAAGGAACTAGTTTGTTTATAGTGAAATTCGGCTATAACTCCCAAACTGGGAACCCGATTCGAGTCCCGTCTACCCCCACAAGTCTCTCGTGCCTAGGCGGTCATATGTGCCAAGTTTCGTGCTAATTTGACGTCGTTTGGTGATTTTGAGGCGTCAACACCTCGAATTCTAAGTTTCTTAAGGAATTAGTTTGCCTAGAGTGAAATCCGGCTCTAACCCCCAAACTGGGAACCCGATTCGAGTCCCGTCTTCTCCCATAAGTCTCTCATGCTTAAACGATCATGTGTGCCAAGTTTCGTGCTAATTCGATGCCGTTTGGTGATTTTGGGGCGTCAACACCTCGAATTCTAAGTTTCTTAAGGAATTAGTTTGCCTAGAGTGAAATCCGGCTCTAACTCCCAAACTAGGAACCCGATTCGAGTCCCGTCTTCTTCCACAAGTCTCTTGTGCATAGGCAGTCGTGTGTGTCAAGTTTCGTGCTAATCCAATGCCGTTTGGTGATTTTGGGGCATCAACACCTCAAATTCTAAGTTCTTTAAGGAACTAGTTTGCCTAAAGTTAAATCCGATTTTAACTCCTAAACCGGAAACCCAATTCGAAGCCCATCTTCTTCCACAAGTCTCTCATGCCTAGGTAGTCGCGTGTGCCAAGTTTCATGCTAATCCAACGTCGTTTGGTGATTTTGGGGCATCAACACATCGAATTCTAAGTTTCTTAAGGAACTAGTTTGCCTAGAGTGAAATCCGGCTCTAACTCCCAAACCGGAAACTCAATTTGAGTTTTGTCTTCTCCCACAAGTTTCTCATGCCTATGTGGGCGTGTATGCCAAGTTTCGTGCTAATTCGACGCCGTTTGGTGATTTTGGAGCGTCAACACCTCGAATTCTAAGTTTCTTAAGGAACTAGTTTGCCTAGAGTGAAATCCAGCTCTAACTCCCAAACTGGGAACCCGATTTGAGTCCCATCTTCTCCCACAAGTCTCTCGTGCCTAGGCGGTCGTGTGTGCCAAGTTTCGTGTTAATCTAAAGCCATTTGGTGATTTTGGGACGTCAACACCTCGAATTCTAAGTTCCTTAAGAAACTAGTTTGCTTAAGGTGAAATCTGGCTCTAACTCCCAAATCGGGAATCCAATTCGAATCCCATCTTCTCCCACAAGTTTCTCATGCCTATACGGTTGTGTGTGCCAAGTTTCGTGCTAATCGACGCCGTTTGGTGATTTTAAGGCGTCAACACCTCGAATTCTAAGTTTCATAAGAAACTAGTTTGCCTTGAGTGAAATCCGGCTCTAACTCCCAAACCGGGAACCCGATTCAAGTCCCGTCTTCTCCCACAAGTCTCTCATGCATAAGCATTCGTGTGTGCCAAGTTTCGTGCTAATCCGACGTCGTTTGGTGATTTTGGGGCGTCAACATCTCGAATTCTAAATTTCTTAAGAAACAAGTTTGCCAAGAGTGAAATCCAGCTCTAACTCCCAGACCGGGAACCCGATTCGAGTCCCGTCTTCTCCCACAAGTCTCTTGTGCTTAAGCAGTTGTGTGTGCTAAGGACCAGGCTGCAATGGTGCGCTAGTCCAAGTGGGAAACTTAACAATGAAAAATCCTTTGTCTTTCTTTCTAATTATATAATTAGCCTCTATCCTTTTGGGTTGTGTACTGTTAATGTATGGTTATTTTTAGCTTAGAATGCAAAGATACATTTTATACCTGATCTTCTGGTGGTGGTGTATATGGAGTATCATCTCCTGTAGATTTCCTAAATACCCGGTGGCGACTTGATGCATCAAGAACCTATGACAGTCCATACATAATATGTTAATCAAATTCAAATTTTATTATATATATGTATATATATTGTGTGAAAATGTAACTATCAAACAATTTAATTTATATCGAACCTGTCTGTTGGGATCCACACTCGCCCCCTATGACACAAAGGCCATCATCTCAGCTCTCATCTGCTGTAAATATGTAGAGAACTCTGCTCGCATCTCCTCCCTTAACTCATCTCTTAGCTCCGCACGAACCTGCTAGGTGATCTGAACAATAGTCGATGGCTGGGGTGTTGAGTGTGATGGCGCAGCACCATCTTTTTACACCGTGCTCCGAGACACAGTTCTCCCGTAAGTGCGACAATATCCATGTCCGTCATGACCTATCAACTCATGAAAAATAGCATTCCTAGCCTCTAAAGTCCGACAATTCTCAGGTAGCATGGAGAGTTGACGATTAAACTCATCTTGTATTGAATAAGACATACAAATATATGTCAAATTAAGATGGTTGACACACAAAAAATAAAAAAAAAATTTAAATATAATGTTAGGTGTTTGGAAACTACCAAAGTCTGGATAATCTCAGGGTCATCTGCTCTACATGTCATAAGACAAACATTCATCTTATCAGTAGACTCCCCCTTGCTAGTCATCTACATTTTTTTAGAAATATGAAAATTAGAATCCAAATAATTTGCAAATATATAATGCTTTTTTATATACAAAAATAAAAACAATAAAATATAAACCTCATGCTGGATCTGAGCGAAAGTAGTACGCCTTGTGGTATGAGGTATGTCATGAGCTCGCCGATTTTTAGCGTTCCAAGTTGCAATTTTCTGTAACAGGTTCAACAAATGTAAGTATATAAATATGATTTGTATGTTTACATATCATACATATAACTTATTTATATACCTCAGCATCAGAAGTACGCCAATACTCCACAAGTTATTCCCACTGGTTTGGCACAATGTGCAAAGGAACATCATCCTTCAGATTGGGATAAGAACTTCTAGGCTTGAAACACTTGGTCTTAATCTTATTCTTGTGATCCTTCTATATGCTGTTGCAGGTTTTCATGCAGATTGGCTTATACTCCTCTGGACATACATTCAAATTGTCCTACAAAACATAATTTAAAAGTTTAAATAATAATAACACAATTTTGAAATTTGAATTTTTGGACAAAAATATACTTTTACCTTTACATCCTTCCAAATATTATCAATAATATTGTCAGGCATAGTGATCCAGTCAAGAAAAGTAAGAAGAACAATGTTACCATTGTGCACAATGATGCCAAGTTGAGTAGTTAACTTAGACACATTATTCCCTATTGGGCAGTAATTTTTGTCAAATTGTATGTCCAACTTTGTACCAGTACCCCACTCCTTAATGGCCTTGGCACATCCTTTACCACGCCTAGTCGAGGTTGATGAAGAACTAACATGACCTGCGAGATACAATAAGAATAAACAATATACAATGATAATAAACAAATGCAAATTTAAATAATGTTAATACAAATCGAATTTTTATACCTGAGGTGGGTTGTGAAGAAGTTAAAGGGTCTGGAAGATACAATGAGAATAAACAAGTTATATATAATGAGAATAAATAAATATATATTTAAATAATTTTCATACAAATCAAAGCAAATTTATATACCTGCGATTGGCTGTGAAGATGATGACTCTAGTCGGGATGATAGCTGTAGTGCTGCCACTGATGGTGAACGCACCAATGGTAGGCGTGGAGCCTGAGTAGATGATAGCTGTTGTGGTGCCACTGATGGTGGTCGATGAGGTAACACTAGTGGCCCCTCTGATGGTGGTCGCTGTGATGCCTCCTCTAATAGTGGTGCCACTAATGATGGTCGTTGCAGTGGCTGGTCAGATGGTGGTGGCACTAATGGCCCCCTGATGGTGGTCGATTTGATGCCTCCTCTGATGGTGGTGCCACTGATGTCCTCTTACGTACCAAATTAGACATCATGTGTAGGGGATGATCAGGTTTCCTCTTCCTTGCCATAATAATTTGCAAGTAATATGACATTAATTGATATTAGAAATATAGAGAATGGTTTTGAATTAACGATAATATGACATTAGTTGAACTAATATAATTACAAAGACAAAGTAAATTAAGAAACTGATGATTAACTACAACTTTTGCCTTAATTCAATTACTGATGTTTATTAAATATCAATCTATGTCAATATCAAGTGTTTCTCCTTCTGCGGCTTCCCTCACCCAACCAACTTCTTCATCACGAAGCATTATGTTATCTTCCAATTGTTGGCTCATATATGGCTCGATTTCTGGATTAATTGAATTCATATCAAATAAACCTCTTTGAGACATCTTCAACACCACTTGCCAGTTTGGTTCTAACTGGTCTGTAACATACCAAACTTGCTCTGCTTGGGATGCCAAGATGAAAGGTTTATTGGTAATTCGATCATCTCGTTACAACAAATGATTGAAGTTGACCAACGTGAAATTGAAGACATCTTGTTTCTTTGCGTGAATGTTGTCAATCCAATCACACTTAAACAATACATGTATCTTCTTCTCATTGGAATATCAAATCTCAACAATATCTGTCAATTGTCCATAATAGTATACAAACCCCACACGAAAATTCTTGTCTTTCCAACTAACATAACTTATGGTATCTGCCTTCAAAGCTACACCACAATTTTGTGTGGCTCGACGGTCATCCATGACCTTTACTCGATACCGAAGCCCATTCATTATATACCCATTGAACCTCCTTGCCAGGTTATGAGGACCATTTGCCAATTCAATAATCTCTTCAGAAAATGTGACATCACTAGTCCTTCGCAAAGTTTGGACCTATTTAAAAAAAAAAATTAAAATTTAAAATGTAGTTCAACTTAGGTAACTAGAATCTGTAGATTTAAATACATATATGTTCCTTGAACCAAATGTGAAAAGTTTCAAAATGTTCATGCCGAAGCTGATGATCGTCGACACGAGGCATTTTAACCTTAAGGACTTCAAGGCGTTTGCTGTGTAAATTAAAAATTCATCAATAAAAAAAATTTGGTTCAAAATTCAATAAAACATAATAAAATATTGAGTGAGTGACATAACCTACTTTATAAATGGTTGAACCGCGCTTGTATTAAATAAGACATACCGATGAGCTTGTACCCAAGAAGTATTATCAAGATAAAAGCTTGTGTTTTCACCAACAGCATGATCCAGATTATCATCACCACTGTAGTTCCTCACGGGTCGACTAGATTTGGTTTCCACATCATTGAGATATCGTGCACAAAAATTCATGCATTCTTCTATAAGATATCCTTTAGCAATTGAACCTTCTGGATAAGCTTTATTACGCACATATTGCTTCAAAGTAAGAAAATACCTCTCAATTGGATACATCCATCGAAACTGAATTGCTCCAGCCAATAATGCTTCGTCAGCTAGATGTACAGGCAAGTGCTCCATTATATCAAAAAAAGTCGGAGGAAATATTTTCTCTAAATGACAAAGTGTTACGGCAATATAATCGTGAATATATTGCAAATCTGTCGCATGATTCACTTTGGAACACAATTGTCTAAAGAAATTGCTCAATTCAATCAAGGGTTTAATTACATTCTTTGGTAACAATCTTCGAATAGCCAATGGAATAAGTTGTTGCATCAGAATATGACCATCGTGGCTCTTAAGACCCCCAATACTTCTATCATGTGAGCGCACACGACGCGAAATATTGAATGAATACCCGTCGGGAATTCTAACTTCCTTCAACACTTTCAAAAACAAATCTTTCTCATCCTTGGTCATCGTGAATTATGCTGGTGGTAAATAAGCTTTATTTGACCCTCTTAACTACAAATGTAAGGGTTTTCTAATATTCATTTCTTGTAAATCACGCCGAGCATTAACATCATCCTTTGATTTTCCTGCAACCCCTAATATTGTCCACAACACATTGTCACAAACATTTTTCTATATATACATCACATCGAGGTTGTGTCTTATTAAATTGTGTTCCCGATATAGTAGTTTATAAAAGATACTCTTTTTCTTCCAGCTATGGGTGTGATGTCCAGCTTTCTTCTTCTCTACTTGTCTCCTATGCCTCTCTTTAAGGTCATCCCTCTTGTATTAGGTTAAAATACCCTCAGATTCTAATTGTAGCATCATAGTTCTAAACAACAATTTTGGTTTGAGTCTAAATTCTCAACTACCATCAAATGATACTTTATCCTTTCAGAATTTATGGCCACTAGGTAAAAATCTGCGATGACCCAAGTATGATTGTTTCCTACTATACTTCAACTAACACAATGTAGTTTTCTTATTACAACAAGGACATGCATATTCGCCTTTAGTGTTCCATCCTGACAAGTTTTGCATATGCAGGAAAATCACTAATTGTCCACAGTAAAGCTGCATGCATTTGAAACATTTGATTTGTTGATGCATCAAATGTGGAGACACCGTCATTCCATAGTTCTTTCAACTCCTCAATCTACGGTTGCATATATATATATATCAATCTTGTCACCAAGTCCTTTCGGGCCGTCAATAGGCACAGATAAAATTAGAAATGGTTGCTTCATGCACATCCATAGCGGCAAGTTGTATGGAATGAGCATAACAAGCCAAGTGCTATGAACTATATTCATCGTCCTAAATGGGTCAAAACCATCAGATGCTAAGCCAAGCCTTACACTGCGACAATCATTACTAAAGTTAATATTCCGATGGTCAAAATCTTTCCATGAAAGGGAGTCAGCAGGATACCTAAAGATGTCGTCATCAGTTCGTTCCTCTACATGCCATCTCATTAACTTGGCCGTCTTGGATGACATAAACAACCTCTGCATCCTTGGCTTTTGTTACGCCCCCAAAATATAATACAAATAATCAATTCCAAAAGATCTATGAACATAATAGAAATGATATACTTCCATTCATTAGGGTTTGAATTACAAAAGATATTACATGCATTATACATTCATAAATGTTCATCTTGAATCTACAGCATGTAATACATGTTAATAACAACAAAATAAATGTCGTACGAGTTTACATCTTTCCAAGATAATACTTGGTTAAAACAAAAGAGAGTCATAAGCTCTATATATTTAAAGCCCTTGGTTTGAATAAACATTTAAACACAAAAATAACCAAATAGAGCCTTCAGCTCCTAAGTCCTCCCAAACTATGTCTTTGGAAGAAGCATATCACCAGTACCTGAAAATGGTTTTCCAAATAGGGTGAACCAAAGCCTAGTAGAGATAGACTAACACAATATATGAGGTTTAACTAAGATATAAGTGTCAGGCATATATTCAGTATTCATGACAATATATATATTCTCCACATAAATAAACGATATTGATATTCATATCTCAATCCATTTCCTTCTATCCATTTCAAGTTAATTCATTTCATTTCAATTCATAGACCAAATTTATAATTTTCCGAATAACCCAACTGAGACTACGACTCAGTGGTTCTAAATCAACACAACAATCATACAAGTACTTCAATCTTGCCATTTTATGGAAATTTTGTCCGCGGAATCAACACCCATGTATTCAAATGATTTCGGGACTTTTACCCTGGACACTCCGGCCAACTTAATTTTCAATGGAGTCTATCCTCTATCTTCTCCCAAAACATGGAGTACATCTCATTTCTTCTCTCAAACACTATACATATACAATGTATTTAAAGATACCGTCATATTCAATGACATTCAATTATACATATTTAATGTATTTAACATACCGCCATATTCAATGACATAATTAGATAATTAGTTTCAATTTACCTAATCCTCATGCAATTTCTGCAACAATCATAGCCATCCTCCACCGATGGCCCAATGTAGTTATTTCTAAATAGATATACAATCTTTATAATAGATAGTTCATCAAATTTCCATACATGAGTGATTTAACAAATCCAACTACACCATTCATTCATACATCCTTCCAATTTCACATTTCTCATACCAATTCCATTATTTATACAAAATAATTATTTAACACATATTGGGGCAAATTTCCTCCTTTTCCAAATATCAATCTCTAGGCTATATTTCACTATTCCAACCCAAGGTAACCTCATATTCAAAACCCCATGTTCATTTATAGAACCCAACATAGAAACCCCTCTTTCAATTTGAACCAAAACCCTAACTTTACCCAAATCCTTCCAAAATTTCACCATTTATACATAACAACAAATATCAAGGTTAAAAATCATATTAAGGTGTAGAATATCCCTATCTCAAGAGTAGAAGCCCAAAGGAGAAAAGAAAGAACTTCAAAGACACCGAAATTCGACATTGTTCGGATTAAATGGAAGCCCACAAGATACTCTACCTTTTTAACAAAGGAACTAGGGTTGAAAGATCAAAGAATCTTGGTCAAAATGTAGAGATATAATGGATTTTAGAGAGAGAGGGAGCCGAATTAGGGTTTTTGAGTGAAAAAATCATAAAAAGTGATGTAAAACTACTCTGCTGCGAACTGATATACGCGAGGCTCACTCGAGCAAAGGAGTTGTTGCTCGAGCAACCAAACACAATAAGTGATCTCGCTCAAGCGCAAGAAGCATCGCTCGAGCATAGAATGCAAATCCTTAGAAGTTTTGCAGACATAAAACCTTCGCTCGATCGCAAGAGTTCTCGCTCGAGCGAATAACAACACAACAAACCGTTGCTCGAGCACAAGAGTTCTCGCTCGAGTGAACAACGATACCCTCCCAGAATATTTGCAGGTCTGAACGAATTACTGGGAGATCACAAATCTCGCTCGAGCGACCAGACACAAAAATGTGTCCTCGCTTGAGCGCAATAAGCTTTGCTCGAGAGAAGAAGCCAAAACCTGGGCAACAACCATCTAGACCCACTAGCAATCAACCTATTCCAAACACGTCGAAGATGTTCTAATACTCAAACTCAAGGAGTAGAAGGAAGAAAAGACAAAGATAACAATATTTAAACCATGGAACCCGAGTCCGGAATGCAACAATAGTCGGGTCAAAACCGAGACCACTATAGCTGTAAAAGAAAATACCTCATTTATTTTGCAGCTATTCGTTTTCCACCTTTGTTAGGACCATTTGAACCACCATCATCATTTGATTTCCATCTAGAACTGTTGCATATGACACATTTATCAAGGTTGGCATCCTCATTTTGAAACAAAATACAATTGTTAGGACAAGCATCCCACGTCTCATACGTGAAGCCCAAATCTGTTTTGACCTTTAGAGCTTTATAATATGAGTCCAGGAGTTTCACACCTAATGGGAACGCCTCATTCAATAACTCAAGCAACATGTCAACAGACTTTTCTATC